TATTAAAGAGCAAAATTTTTTTTGGCTTCATTACTTTATCATTTAATCATTTTTAGTTTCATAAAAAAATGGAGTACTAAAATTGGTCCATAGTCAATACTTTTTAATTACTTTTGGTCCCACCAATAAATGGACCTAAAGGTTCTAACCAAGGAGCACGCAGATCCCAAAAACGCATAGTTTCTCCCCCAAAAGTGACTTCTCCGGTCGGGGAACGCATTAGATATTTACCTAAACCAGTAGGTCCTTGAGCGGATCCTACATAGGTTTATTCTTTGTTCACTTGAATCAGAATTCCAATCCGAACTCAAACATGGACGTTTTTTGTTCGACACAAATTTGAGAAGCCAGATTTTATTATCATGTCTGTTATAAGAAAAAAAAAAAGTCCATTGATGAGAAGGGGCTGGGGAAAGCTTGAACCCAATTTCTACAGTGATGAATATGAGCGCAATTGAAATTCCTGGAGAGTTATACATTTGTGTATTGATAAGACCATTCACTATTTCTTGAAGCTCGATCTCTCCCCCGGATAAACCATCACTACAAGAAAAAATCATTTTTGTAACAAAACTTTTTCGTCTCTAAATCTATTTTTTCCGTTACTAATGACATTAGAGACGGAAATAGGAATGAAATTACGTTAGCTACGTAAACTTTAGGGACGGAATTCCGTTACAAATATATTATTTTTTTTGTAGTGCATATAGCCAAGAGAAACCATGAACCAGAGTAGAAGAGCTTACGATATCCTAACATGGCAATGACAAAAAATAATGTAATAATATAATTTGGAATAAATATGATTGTATTGTATTTATTCAATCAAATACTTTATTATTGTATGTATACAAATAGAAATGTGTGCAAAACTAAACACGTCTGTCACCGTCAAGCGATTATTACTCATTTTTATTAAAATCCGTGCATGATAAAATGAGCGCGAGAAAAAACCCACAGTTATAAATCTTCAAACGATGGGGTTTGAATATGGCCTCATGAAGCCGAGGGGCTCTCAAGTCTCAAGCCCATTCTTCATCACCATTTTCCTCTCACTCACTCTCTCTCTCTCACCTTTTCTTTTTCTTTCAATCATTTTCTTGCACAAACACCTAACTTACAAACACCCACCATTTCCAAACTGAATCAATTATCTAGACCTCAAGGCCACCGACGATTCACCAGCGGAAATCTGCAGGTATGGATCATCCGTTTGTCAAGTGATTTTAATTTTATAATGGTTTGTAGAGTTTGCAAATTTGTTCCTCGTCTCGATTGAGTTAAGCTTTATTCAACTAAGAACCATTAATTATGTATATGTATGTTCGTATTCTGTAAATGCTTCTATAAGGTTTAGAAGAGAAAGTAATTCATATGGTTGCTCTCCGATTAGGATTTTGATGTGGTCATAAACCTCACATTTCAAGTTATCATGTGGTTTTATATGATATTAACATATACATATATATTATTTTATAGCTAAAATTTTGCAAAATTACTGTGCTAATATATAGTTAGAAACTATGATTCTCGAAAGAATTCTTTATGTTGTTCATCTTTTGGTTATTCTGCTGCTTTCCGTTAGAATCAATTATTGGGATTTAAAAAATCTATGGTTCTTGGTTCCTCAGTCTTTACCTTTTCTACAAATTGTATAAATATTTTATTTACTTATGTTGATTGAAGCTTTTTTTGATAAGATTCAATACTTTCTTCCATAGTATACAATTTTCTATCGTGAATTTAAAACTAGTTTATTTGAATTTTTTTTCTTTTTTAATTTGTTAGACTATAAGAAGGATCATGGTTAATAGATTAGATGACAGTCCAACAGTTGAGGTACATGAGTTAGACGATTCATCCCAGACTATCAACACGCCACAAGCACATCTATCAAATTCAACTACATGTACCCAAAATAGTCTGAATCTGGCTCCCCAGGGACATCTATGTATGAATCAATTAAGTATGAATTTCAATTGTTCTTTTTAACCTATGCACTATTACCCACAATTAAATGAACTTTTGTTTTTTACTCACATATATGGAATTTCTTATCATCTATACCACCATCTCAGATTTTGTATAATGAGACTCAATCCTCACAAGCTAATTTTTCGTCATTCCGTACAGGCCATCATATAATTCAAAGCAAAGATCCTTCTCTAGGCAATCCAACTCAAGGCCAATAGAAACCAACTAACGTGCAAGCAAAAATTAGTCTATAGAGGAGGATGCGGAGTTGGAAAAAGCTTGGTGTAATATGACAACTAATTCAGAGGTATCGGTCAAAAGAGACAAAGGTTGTGGGAGCGAATTTGTGATAAGTTTATTATTCTCATGGAAGAAAATCATGAGGGTACCCGAGTTGAAAATAAAATAACCCCAAATGGAAGTGAGAACCGATGGATGGAGGTTCGCTCCTAGTGCACTAAATGGTGTGCTGTAAGTGTTCAAGCAGAACAACAATATCGTAGTAGCTGAAGTCTGGCGGATTTTGTAAGTCCATAATATTTTCTATAAAAAAAATTACTTTATTTGAATTATATTTATTTATCTAGATAACTAATCTATACCATACCTTAGGGATAATATTAAGATGGTACTTATTTTGAACAACAAAAAACCAAGTTCAAATGTGAGTTTTGCTGGCATATTTTGAAAGAGCAACCAAAATGGATGAAATTTTTGGGAAGAAACAAGATAGATTATCGATCATGTAACAATGAAAAATATTTAGCTAAGGAAGCATCACTGCATCTTAATGGAGAACCATTGTAACCAACAATCCCTATTGATTCGACTATAGGGGCATTCCGAACTGATAAAGATTCCAATACGAAAGCACCTTCTTTGTCTAAGTTAGGTAGGCCTGCAGCATTGGATTTAGAACGTCCAGCTGTGGTTAAAAAATCTAAATATGGTGGCAAGCTGAAAAAGCAAAAACAACGCTGGATAAAGAGGTATGAAGAGTCGCAAGCCTCGGTAACAAGGACTCTAACTACAGGATTGGTGAACTTAGATTTAGCTAATCATGAGAGATAGACCCAACTGGAGAAATTGGATCGTATGAGGGAGTCAAAACAAGATCAACGTTGCGATCTCATGTCCCAAAGGGCAAGCAAGAAGGTAATTGGTGTATGTTACTATTATGAATTAATGTTCTTACGTGTTTCTATATTTTTTTCACACATGGCCAATTTTTTTTTATCATATGCTATTTTAGCATGAAATGAAAATAATTAAAGAAATGACTATCTTTATCACGAACATGAGGGAGTTGATGATTGCTATAAAAAATTTAAAATAAATGGATCCTGATAATCTGGAGTGAATGTGGAGAAAACCTGTTACACAATAAGGAATAAATGAGTAAAAAACTACACTTGAATGTTCAAAAGTAAGTATTGCTTGAACTCTTTAGTTTAATGGTTAAATTACTGCTAACTTTCCTTTTGTCTAACCAGAGATTCAAGCAACACTTGATGCAAAGGATGATCTAAATGAAACAAAGGTTTTTGAGACTATAACGAGCATTCGAGGAGACAAAAATAGAAAGTGTCTTTTCGATAACATAATCATCTCAGATTGAGATGGTTATAAACAATCAATTTTTATTTTTATTTTTTTTTTATCTATTATAAATATAAACTTCATAACATATATGCTATTTGAATCAGGTGTACTACCTACAACCGTGGCCAGCCTCACCATTTGTTATTTTAGGAATGTGATTTTTTTACAATATGGGAATCCGTAGCCGCCTACCTTTCGGGTGCGCTATGGGTAAACCCCCGGCCGAATATAATAGCCTGCAAATTAGGTCCGATAAAACAAGTCACACTAGGCGACCATGTGTGGCAAACAAGACTAGGAGATTTCGGGGTCTAAACACATGAACTCACGGTCACGAGTCCATCTCCACACCACCAAACTATCCCTTACACGACCACAAGTAAAAAATTTTAATTGTTGGATGTATTGTTTTATTTGAACAAAGTTAACATAACTTGCATTAAAAACTTTTATTTTTAATGTCAATTTTTATATGAGGTAGGAAACATGACTTATTCGGAATGTTATGTAGTTTTTATGTTATAGATCACTTATAATGTATAATGTGTGGACAATTATGTTAATTAATACTCCCTCCGTCTCATTTAATTTGTCCACTTTAGTTTAGACACAAAGTTTTAGGTATTGTTAAGAAGTATTAGTAAAAATAATTATGATATAATAAAGATAATTATAGATTAAGATTAAGATGACTATATAGTTTAATTAAAATAAAAAAATTATACATTATGAATTTAAAAATGTGATCAAAGTGTATAATTATATATAATTGAAATAGTGGTTTGATGTGATATAATATGTATGGATGCGATATTTTGAATATAAAATTAGATTTTAGTGTAATAAAATAAATAAAAAAATATTTTAATTTGATATTTTCGAAAAAAGAAAAAAAATTAAGAATAGTAAAAGCGAAACCAAATTTCACAAGTAAACAGATAAGTTCAACAGTTCACCGAATCAAATGGATCATATCAGTAGTCCCGTAAGGGATGGCCTAGTGGCGTAGGGGTTGAATTTGTGACCGTGAGGTCATGAGTTCAAACCCCCGACGGCTCAGGTTACTTGCCACACATGGTTCGCCTACTGTGACTTTTCCGTCGGGCTTGATTTGCAGGGTATTAGATTCAGCCGCAGATTCGGGTAGCGAATGCATCGTATCAGTAACTAATTTGGGCTACAAAACAAATCTGACTTCTTATGTGATAATACCTATATCTTGATTTATTTTCTTCCCCTCTAATTATTCATACTGAACAGTAATATTAAATCTAGTACTTTGAATAGTAATAATAAAAAATTGTACAAAATTGAAGAATATTTATTGAATATAATGTTGTTTTAAGGAAAAAATTTTGCTGTACATATATAAGTAGGCAAATAGGATCCATAATACAAACAACAAATGAAATAAACAGAGTCCCTATTCCCAACCAATTAGTTGATGGATATGAACAATAGTAATTAATACACAAAGTTTTCTTGTGATTAGCGAGCTAGCTGAAACACACACAATTAAGACAAATGGAAGAAATAAAAGGAAAAGCAGCAAAGGCACATCACAAGAAGTCTCCTCCTCCTGTGACTTGACAGACAACTTTCTAATATCAACTTTCTAATTAGGTCATGTAGTTGATGAGTGTCAGGTGTTGACAATCCCATGGAGCTTCCTGTCCAAGATGTCGGAACAGATCTGGGCCATCATGTGGTAAAAGGACATGAGGTCCGAGAGCTGATCCACAGACATCTTCCCCATCATGCTCCGGGCTAACCTCTCCTTCTGCTCCTTCACCTTCACTTTCTCCATGTACCAGAACGCGTTCCTCACCGTCGCCCCCACCTGCTTCAGTCTCGTCTCTTGCTGCAAGCTCAGTGCTGTATTCGACTGCCATACGATGATTTCATTCATTACTCTTGAAAATTGTAGATGAATTCATGTATGTATGTATATATACATATATGTTATAATATAAATTAAAATTCTCTATTTCAATCATAAGAATACATATATAAATATTTATAGTGATATACAAATCGTCTAAATAAGGTCAGAAATCTACGAATCTCTTAAATAAAAGTGACCAAAAAAAATATAGCCGATATCTTCCACGTATGAATTTGAATTCGTCAAAATTAACTAAAAGTTATATAGCCGTCCATAGGATCATAATTAGAATAGAACTTTCAACACAGTTAGACTTGGAAACAGGACTAGGACTCGCTTGCTCAAATCGGAACTAGAGTAAAAAATATGATTTTCTCACTCTATAAAGTTAGAGTCAAAAACAAAACTCACTCGCTCACAATAAAGTTAGAATCGAAAACAGGACTCTCTTGTTCTCAATAGAGTTAGAGTCGAAAACAGGACTTTCAACGGCGGCGTTAGAGTCGAAAGTAGACTCTGTCAATGGAATTGTAGAAACGGAGACGACATAAAAATAGCAGCATAATCGTAGATAAAAGTACATACATTAATAAAATATAAAAATATATACGAGATATAACGGATCATGGAGATACCCGAAGAGAATTTGGCTCTATCGTAAGAATTCGTACATATTTATAGTAACGCACAAATCATCTAAATAATGCAAGAATTCTACAAATCTCTTGAATAAGATAAATACCATAAATATAATATATATTTTCTAAATATTTTTAACAATATGTATGTATTACCTCAAGAAACTCTGCTCCTGCCTCCAGCTCCGATTCCTTAGACGAACTGATCTTATGCCCTCCTTCGTACAAGTTTCTTGCCAGCGAAAAGCTTCTCACGATCATCTTCCTTTGCTTCTCCGTTTCTGCATCCAGCTTTAGAGGCTTCGCCACGCTTGTCAAACTGTTTAGCCTTTTCTGATAGGCAATTACAGCTTTTGCAAACTCCTGCAACGGATCAATTGTTTCTTACACTCAACAAATTCAATTCTATTCTATTGGAAGTTAGTTTTTTTTTTTTTTTTAATTCTTGATCGAATAATGAATGAGGTGAAGTGATCGACCTTGTAAGCAGAAGGGCATCCGGGATAGTCGAACTCATCGGAATCGGGCTTCCTCATCCTCTCCGGATGAAACTGAAGCCCCATAATGAACTTGCCCTCTTCCGGATTATAAGCGTCGGGATCGTAAAACCCCTCGATTAGGCCGTCGGGGGCGAATGCCATAGGCACGAACCTCTGAGCCAGCTTCTTCACCCCTTGATGGTGGTAGCTGTTAACCCGAATCTCCATTTCCGTTGGTGACGACAAATAGGTATGATCTCGCGCGAACCATTGATGCAACGGCGTGTTCTCCACTACCCGGACAGGATGGCGGTGGCCGTCGTAGTTGTCGTAATCCATGTGCAGAACCCTCTCGGTTTCCGGCAGGTTCTTGGAGAGCTCCTTGGCTATGTCCTGGTAGAGAGTGCCGCCGCAAGCGACGTTGAGGATCTGGGAGCCACGGCAGATCCCTAAATAGGGAATGTTCCTCTCCAGGCAGAGCTTGGCAAGCCCTAATTCGATGGTGTCTTTTTCCCTGTCGATGGCGGTGTCGCCGGCGTGCACCCGCCGGATCTCGTCGAGCTCGTCGGAGGAGAGCGGCGACAGATCGGATTCGTAGAGAGAAGGATCGATATCCTCGCCCTCGCAGAGAAGCACGCCGTGGATCGGCTCGAAACTTTCCAGCAACATGTGGACGCCGCTCACCCGCGGCACGATCACCGGCACGGCGCCATAGCTCACGATCAGATCCAGATGATATTCTCCTGAACGGATCCAGATGATTATCATTTTTATTTTTTTTTTTTGATTTGATTGATAAAAAAAGTGATATGTGGATCGACTGTGCGTGCTTACCGACGAAATCGACGAATTTGTTCTTGCGGACGCTTCGTCGGGAGACGATGAGGACACGAGGCAGGATAACCGACAGATCTCCGGCAGCCATGCGCATACGCAAAAACCAACAAAAATTCAATGAATCAAGTAAATGGGTGAATCGAAAGAACGAAGAAGACGATTCAAATGAGTTAGTTACTAATGTGTTTAGGTATAATCAATCTGATCGGAGTAGAGGCGCCGCGTAACTAAGGGTATTTATAGGAGGGGGCCGAAGAGGGCAGACACAACACGGCTGCAAAGGCGGCAGGGGAGACACGTGGCGGATGGCTGCGCAGGGATTCGATTCGGGGCAGGTCAAATCTGAGGTAGAGCTGACCTGGCAAACCCACCCACCCACCCACTCACTCGACAAATTAAATTAAATTAAATTATACTATTAAACTTCCTAAGAATCAGCAGCAAAGAAGCATCGGGACTCGATGTCAATGTGTGTCTGTGACATGAGTTGGAATAAGAATAAATCTGGTGGAGGCCTTATCCACACAGATTGATAGATAGAGGTGAAAATGATTTCAGTAAGTACTGCCACTTAGATTTCATCTACGAATCTGCATGCATGCAACCTGCCAACTGCTACGATTCACAATGGGAAGTTCTATGACCATGTGACAATTTTTATAAAAATCGTTCATATATATATATATATATATATTTTTTTTCAGTATGTCACATCATGTCATATCAAGAATTTATTAAATTATTAAGTATTGGTCCTGAAATCGATGAAGCACATAGCAACAATAACAACTCACTTCGTGAGACACAATCGAAAATTAAAACATCAACGCGGACTCATTCTTTGTTGGAGGATCATACTATGAATGCACATACTGGTGACGACAAAAGTATAAAATACAAAACAATTGTTAACCCAATGATAACTCCTAATAATAGCATATTCTTTTGCTTGACAAAACTGTGTATTACTTGAATTTTTATGTGAAAATCATCAAAGTACCTGATTTATAGCATACGTTATTGAATTATTTCTTTTGGTATGATCCAGAGCGCGTTTGTTGAGATTATTAACGTTTTTGGCCTATTTAAGCTATATTTCTGGTAAAACAAAATAAGTATTGAAATCCAAGCAATGGCGTTGCCGCTTAGCAAGCGACGCTTTTTCTGCTCGAGCCAGTGCCAGCGACCAAACATCCACGGCAGCGAAACGAGAGTGAACAACTCCACAATTCACTAAGTGTTCATCTCTCAGTGGTCTAGCCATTCTGATACCAGCCAGCGACGACAACATCGCTTGATCTACGCCGATGCCGTCCAGCCATCTAGGCAAGCGAGGAAGATCTGTGCCCTTGCATTCTGAAGCGAGCGAAGCGGAACCGAGGGAGTTATGGCCGGTGCAACTGCTTCAATAGATTAACCGCCGTCAACCGCCTAACTGTCCAGACAGTTTCAACTGCCGCTCAACTGCTCTGCAACCGCCATCTCCATAGATCTATAAATAGGACCAGAATTATTTTGTAAAAAACGCGCATTTCATATTTTCCGGTGTTGATTTCTGCATATTTTTTAGAGCTTCAACCCTGTAAGGAAGTTCCATAGTTAGGAATGGCCAGAGGAGTTGAGACTTTCTCCTTATCTGGTCGCTCACTTTACTACTTTTATTTTACTACGTTATTCCTGCTTTGATTTACTACATTTATAATGTAGAATTTTACTGTTTTTTGTAGTAAGTAATGAAATATCAAGATTTATCTGCTATCGCTTCTATCCAAGAGTCATTTTTGCATTTAGACATTAGGATTAGAATCCTATATATCTGTGGAAGAACGGAGAAGAATCGACTATTTTGGCCTAGTTTCGCATCGTATTCATTAACAGATTCTAGCTATTTCAACGTAGCTAAGTACGTGGGAGCCTTGTTGACCTGCTTAGTTGCTGTTCCAAATTCGATTCTGATTAAAAGAGGTAATACAAGGGTAAAGCCACTAATGGGACAGAGATTGGGATAGTTTACTAGGCATAGACGTGGATATATTATGCCACAAAACTTCTAGTGACAGTAGATTTTATTGCCTATAATATTCTGATTCTAGGCATCATTGAAGTATTGTTGTAAATCACTTAAGGTCAAGTACCAGCGAAGTCGTTCTCTGTTTTAACAATTTTTATATAATTACACATTTTGTCGTTACGTCTTATAAATATATGTTTCGCTTACTCACCTTCCTCATTTGCGCACTTTATCCATGAGAACCTAGCCATCAATTACCATACAGCTCAAACACAACATCATCTGAACATCCTCACCGTTCCCCTATTATCATTTATACTTATAACTATAATCCGCTCCCCCTCGTCTCTGCTCACTGCCGTTGTCGCTGCATCTATTCCTCGCTCACTGCCTCCACCGCTCACTCACACTAGATCACTCCGCTTACTTGCTTTCCTTTACTTTATGTCTTAGTTAATTTTTGGCTCGCTCAAAAGCGAGCCATCTTACCGCTTTCCGTTATGCATCACCAGCATTGCTATTCTTGATTTACATTTCGCGACTTAAAATCCCTGTGTTCGACCTGGAAACGCACCATCTAAAGAGTATAAACAATTGTGATATTGCGATGTAGGGTCTACAACTTCATTTCTATCATCTACATTTGAACATGTCCAACGATACACATTGCATCCAAGAAATTCATAAGACATTCCCTACTTTAACTTTAAACATCTCATCTTTGGTTGAATCTTCTTTGGCCGCTACTCCTTTCGGAATTTAATCTATTTGGATCTTCAGAGGGCCAAGTGATTTGTCTTCCACACATCAAATCATAAGCCAGACTTTTGAATTTATCAACAATGTGGCCTATCATACCATAATAAGTGCAACTACTCTTTCGTTTGGATTTCTTGCAAACTGAATTTTGCATCAGTGTAGCTTGCTTCAGATTTAATGTAGCATTGTCTTCTTCTCATTTTGAGATGACAAGGCCATCTGGCATACTGCTTCTTTCTCTTTCGGTCTCCACTCCAACGTTTCCAAGATTATTTTCATCTAGTGTTTTGATGGCCAACAAATTCTTCTGCCAAAAAATAAATCTCGTGTGATCCGATCACAATTCAGCTCCTGGTGTCCTACTTGCTTATAGTATATACATTTTGACTGTTGTATGCTCGACCAATGAACCTTCGTTTGATTTCCAAAATATTTTGAAATAACATCTAGTCTCTCAGGCCTCTCGTTATCAGTTGGATCAGAGAGGAGACCACATCTGACAAACATTGGTTGAGAAGTTCCAGCTCCGTGAGTGTATCAAATCCTACTATGATCACCGTATGGTTTCCCAAATTTCAACACCTCATCGAGATTTTTTTTTATCATTCATCAATGTACTATTCTCACTCAAAAATTTCTTGTTCTCCATCTCCAACTTTTTGATTATCTTCAATTGTTCACTTGAGATTTGAAGCAATTTTTCATTTCCCACGGAAAATATTTATCACACTGTGGTAAGCTGCTCATTAACTTCTAGTAGTGTCCTATTTTTCCTTTCCAAATAATCAACGCATGCTCTAAGTTTCTCATTTTGAGAGATGAATACTTTCTGTTCAGCAACAATCATTTCATAGGTTTCAATTAGTTCTTGAAAACTCGTCCTTGTGAATTCAACATCACCTTTTCCATAGGATCACCTTTTTATTCTGATATCTTCATTGAAGTTTCAGATTTTTGGGGATTTTGTGCAGGTTGGCTGTCACTTTTCCAAATGCTATTCGAACTACCAGATTGGATCTTCTTCGAATCAAAATTTTGGGAAGATTTCCGGATGGACTGTTTGGCTCTTTTCTTTGACATACCTATGGATCACTCTTAGATAATTTGTTGAAGAAGAGGCTCTGATACCAATTTTTGGTACCAAAATTGATCAAGCACCTAGCAGCAATAACAATTCACTTCGAAAGACAAAATCGAAAATTAAAACATCAACACAAACTCGCTGTTTGCTGGATGATCGGACTATGAATGCATATGCTGGTGACGACAAAAACATAAAATAAAAAACAATTGTTAACCCAGTTCGGCCATCGAAGACCTACGTTTGGAGGGTACTAACCCAGGAAGATTAATACTCAAGGATGAGCGAATCAAGCTTATAGAGTTGTTGTGTGAATCATTGCTCTAATAAATCTCGCTCTATCACTCACATAGAATTTCCTAGCACACTCGTTCACACCTAAATCCTCTCCCTAACCCAATTCCTTGTTCCCCTCGCTATTAACTCATTCCCTCATCTTTTCACTCCTCATCAACTTGTTGTGCGCTGTCGTTACTTCTCTAACCTCAAACATTCTCAACATGGTAAAATCATCAAATAAGCAAAGAAATAATTATCAATAACTCCTTAGTTTGACTTCCATATTTTCTCTCAATTAAATCTCCTAAAATTTGTCTATCCATTATAGTAGATATTTTAGAATCAATATTCATTTTGACGACACGTCGGTCTAACCAATTTGAAACGTAATTGAATGGATCACTTATTCTATGTTGAATGGGCCGCAGCTTTTCACCATAGTCCATCAAAAACAAAAGAAAGCTTAAAGATTTCACAATATTTGAAACTCTAAAGGTTTGAATATTCTCTATTTTAAAAAAATATAAAGACTTTGACAAAAACGTTTAAGAATTTTAAAATCCTTTAGATTTTGACTCCAAAAAAAAAAAATAGATCCAAGTACAAATTTAATACTCCCTTTGTCCAGGAAATAAAAAAACAATTACTTGTTGCACCGTTATGAAGAAATATTGTATTTTAATGATAGTTGGTGATTGTTTTTAATGTAATGACCTATTTACCCTTGTATACTAATTTCTCTCTCTTCATGTACTAATTAAATTAAGCAACACAAATAAAGTCCTTTATTAACAATTAAAAAACACTACTTGTCCCCTGCAATATACACAAATTAAAATACACGTACACTGATTTTGCAAAATTATACCTAAAATAATTTTGTCACATTAAACCACTACAGATAAATTTTCCAAATTACAAACAAATTAAACAACAAACCATAATGTAATTACATTTCATAACTGATCCATTACAAAGTCAGTGGTTGGGATGAAAATCACCCGAAATCAACACAAAAAATAACTTGCAGTGAGAAGGAGAAATCAGTAGACGTCGCGATTAATTACAATAACGTAAATATCAATAAGCATCGC